TATATATATATATATATATAGGTATGTATATATTGGATATCTTAAATAGTATTACGCTGTTGTGTAACATCGTTACTATTGTTGTTATTAAATATTTGTGTTACCTACATATACATTCTGTCACGGCTATTCTTCGAGGATACCAAGCGTACAAGGCCACCTTTGAGTGCGCGTGTGTGTGTGTATGTGCGTGCGTGCGTGCGTGTTAGACACAGTGTGTGGGTGCTCTAGCACAAACCCGATCCCCTTTGATCAAACTATCTTAGTATCTCCTAATAATCATTACATTGTAAATAGGATTATATAAATAATAAATTACAAGTGTTAATAAGCAAAAATTCATTATTTTACGATGAAACGTCAGTACTAACGGCGCTAAATATGTCAATAAACTCTCACTAAATTATATTTTAACAAAACCGATTCCGTTGATGTCACGTGGATGTCAGGTGGATGTCATGTGTCGGCCGGCAAAATACAAAAAAGTACAAAGAAACAATCTAAGCATGAAAACTGCGCAGAAACAAATCATTGTATTGCATATTGTAAAATTTACACTTAAATTTATTATTTGCTGTTGCAATTTATGCTGACGTCATCATTTTAACCATTTCTGCGTTGTTATTGTGTCGTGAGCAACATCAAATACTTACGACGCTTTTGAATGATGCGAACGCTTTGCTCATCATACATAGGTACTCTACGAGCATCTTGACATGCGTGCATATGAACATATAACATCGCGCAGATTTTATTTCAGAATCACAAATATCGCATATCGCGAAGATACACATCGGGTTCTCACATCCAACATGATGCAATCTACGTCGGCCTTGGCCCAATTGGCCAGGGTTCATAGCCAAGGGGTTTTAGAATGAAGTGTTACAAGATATGGCATCTAGCACCAAATGTTAGGATTTCGCACAGAAAACCATTCAATACGACTAGTCGTGCTTTCTATATGTCGGTACAGAAAATGGCTCTTGCACGTATGCGGCAAGCATCAACTACGTAATACAATCGCATGCATTTGTTTCTCATTTTACATTTTTTTAAGTCTACATTTCTTACTACAAGCACACGCGTAGTATAGTTACTCCGTATTCTCTGTATACCTAGGTAGGTATTCTAATCGTAGTAGATGACGTAGTAGAGCGATCTCTCTGCATACCACCCAGACCCATACACTCGGATCTCATCGAATAAAACTGCTTACATATATTATATTCTCCCCCACCGTGCATTAAACACTGTGCCTACATATCTGCGTAATTGAATCTTCTTAGCACGTGAGCGTGATGAGGCTGCAGCCACGGTACGTGATCACGCACTCAGCACGTGAGCGTGATGAGGCTGCAGCATCGGTACGTGATCACGCACTCAGCACGTGAGCGTGATGAGGCTGCAGCCGCGGTACGTGATCACGCACTCAGCACGTGAGCGTGATGAGGCTGCAGCCGCGGTACGTGATCACGCACTCAGCACGTGAGCGTGATGAGGCTGCAGCCGCGGTGCGTGATCACGCCCGCTCCCCCAGCACGTGAGCAATGATGAGGCTGCGGGCCCGCCGGGCCAAAAGCCGCACGGGTACGTGATCACGCACTCAGCCACGTGAGGCGTGATGAGGCTGCAGCCGGCGGGTACGTGATCACAGCACTCAGCACGTGACGTGAGCATGGTGAGGGCTGTGGCAGGCCGCGGTAGCGAGTGATCACTGCGCTTGAGCAGCGTGAGCGTTGATGAGGCTGCAGCCGCGTAAGCGTGATCAACGCACTCAGCACGTGAGGCGTATGAGGCTGCAGCCGCGGTAACGTGATCACGCCTCAGCACGTGGAGCGTGATGAGGCGCAGGCCGCGGTAACGTGAATCACGTTCGGCCATCAGCACGTGAGCATGGTGAGGCTGCAGCCGCGGTACGTGATCACGACTCAGCACCATGAGCGTGATGGAAGGCTGCAGCCGCGGTACGTGATCAACGCGCTCAGCACGTGAGGCGTGATGAGGCTGGCAGTCCTGAAGTACGATGATCACGCGCGTTAGCAACGTGAGCATGATGAGGCTGCAGTAGCGGTACGTGATCAACGCACTGTCAAGCAGTGAGCGTGATGAGGCTGGCAGCCGCGTAGTGATCACGCACTCAGCAAGTGAGCGTGATGAGGCTGCAGCATCGGTGCGTGATCACCAGCTTCAGCACGTGAGGCATCGGTGAGGCGCAGCCGCGGTCGTGATCAACGCACTCAGCACGTGAGCATGGTGAAGGCACAGCCGCGGTACGTGAACACGCAGCTCAGCACGTGAGCGTGATTGAGGCTGCAGCGCGCGGTAACGTGATCAGCACTCCCAGCACGTGAGCGTGATGAGGCTCGCAGCCGCGGTACGTAATCAGCGCACTCAGCACGTGAGCCATGGTGAGGCGTACAGCCCGGTATCGTGATGCACGCACGTCAGCACGTGAGCATGGTGAGGCTGCAGCCGCGGTAGGTGAATCACGGCACGGTGCAGCAACATGAGCGTGATGAGGCTGCAACCCTTGTAACGTGACCGTCTCCGCGGCAGCAAGCCCAAGCGACAAACCCACGGCAGCTGTCTCTGGCGCGATAATGCAAGCCGAGTTCCTCCAGCAGCTCCAGCATGCGTTCGGCGCTACGCGGACGCGATCAGGTGTATCCCTGTCGCGATCATTCGTCTCGGCGCACGTGTAACGCGCGCGCGCAGCAGGCAGTAATGGTACTGGCGTCAGCGCGATCTCAATCCTCTTGATCGCCGTTAACGACCGTCCCCGACGTCTTCGTCGGCATCCAGCTGTCTTACGTCGGCGAGGATCGCCGCCGGCGACGCGGTCCGGCGACGACGCCGTCGGCGACGAATCTGTCGCGCAGCAAGGCGGCCGTCGCCAAGGTCGCAGCCGTTCGAACGTCGTCCAGGCGGGTACTGGCTGCGTGGAGGAACTCGAGCACCTGCTCGTGCGAGTGTAGTCCGGGTAGTTGGCGCTGACAGCTGCAGGTCCTGAGATGTTCGGCGAGCGAGCGCGGAGAGCACGAGCGTCGCGCCTGCATGATGTAGGCCTATCGAGTCCAGGCAAGCGCACTTTGATGTAGTCGAGTGGCGACGCTTGAGGCGAGTTCTTCTGCTGCCGCCAGGCAGCTGCTTGAAGTTTGTCTGCAGGGCCGGACAGCGCGAGCGAGTTCTGCTGCGACAGTCGCTGCGTCGACCATGCTCGCCGTCGGCGCGCACAGCTGCGAAGGCCGGCGACACTTGTCGCACCGACTGCAGCAGCTGCGGCCCTGCGTTGCTTCGGCAGCGAACGTCGAACACGGCGCTGTCGTCGCCGCCGCCGCAGTTCGCCAGGCGTCAAGAACTCGCGGCGTGCAGTTCGCGCGCAGCTTGTCGCACTGCCTCCGCACAGCGCGTCGGGCGACGGGCCGCGCGACGGTTGTCGTAGCGTCGTCCGTCAAAGTTGAGAAGCCGCGTCGCCAAAGCTGACGAGTCGCCGTTGCCTAGCGCCACTAGCAGGCGCGGTCGGCGTTGGCGTTCTTCGCGAGCAGTAGCGATCTTGGCGACGCGCAGCTGCTGCAGCGACTTCGCTGAGGTATCGTTGACTTCGGACTCGTGCGCCGACAGCTAAGACCGATGACAGACCTGCCCTGCGATGCGCGATCACGAACGTCGAGCGCGCGATGAAAGGCCGGCCGACGCTGGATCCGCTGCGCACGCACCAGCTGCCAGCTGGCGTGCCATGCCCGCGCTGAGGCCGCACGGGGTCGGCATTGCGACGCGCCCCGCAAGCGGGCGCGGAAGCTGCGCGTTTGGCGCGCCAGCAATCACCGAGAAGCTGTAGGCGAGCGGCAAGCCGACAGTACTGAGCGCAGTAGTGGAGCCGAGGCACGAGGCACGGGGTCGCTGTGCTGGTGATTCGCTGGTTGGAGAGAGCACGATCGCCTGCGCCTGGCGCTGAATCGAAGGCAGGGCGCCGAATGGCGCCCAGAGTGATTTTATCACCAATATCTGCGCGCTATGCGTAGTAAACTGAAAAGGGAAACGTTCGGTGGTATCCGGAGTGTCCAGCAATATAAGATGGCTATGTATATATAGATAGCCGCGGTTCATTTATGTATAACAATGCTTCTCATTCGGTAAAAATTGTATAATTTTACGACTGTTAAATTATTTTTACCCTAGTACCCTTTCTTTCCGAGTACGATGGCGACCAA